TATATATATATATATATATATAATTTATTTATTATTATAAAATATTTGTTCGAAAACATTTTTTTGGACTATATAAAAAAAGAGATTAGTTTAATGCAAATTAAAATTTGATAACGAAATCACACATACATACACACACACACCCACACACGTATATATGTATTATTCGTGATGAAGTGTATATTATTGGCTGTGTCTGTAGAATAATAATAATGATAATAATAATAATAATAATAATAATAATAATAATAATAATAATAATAACAATAATAATGACAGGAAAAAGAAATATAAATAAATTCTAAGTACGTGCCTGAAATATTGACAACAATATTTAGTTGTATCATCGTTATCGTCATCATCACTATTATCATCATCATCATTGTCATCATCAACAGCATCATTATTTTCATTATCATCTCAAGGGCACGATTCAGATATCTATGTATATTGAAATTAGACTTTGCGAAAGACTGATTATTAATTTTGGAATTTACCATGTCTTTCAATGTAGGAGAATTTAAAATTGTAGATAAGAGATAATCTCAAGATATAGATTTTTATTATTGTACTCATGTGATTGATTTTGACCTATAATTTTAATTTCATTCTAAACCTTAATCTAGTAATTAATTAGAGACCAGATAAAAAAAATAATAATAAATACTTATATATATATAAAATTTATTAATTAATTAAATTATATATTTCTTTTCTTTTTTAATTTATATTAATTATAATATATTAAAAAGAATACATGAGGCTTATTATAAGAGGATTATTTATTTTTAAAATTGCATCTTGAGACTTGTGCAGATCGAAGAAATTGTCTTTTTATATGTATAAAAATTTTCATGAGATAATTCAAATATCATTATATTTTCGAGGAAATTATTTGTTGCCTAGTATTACTCATATTTGTTTTAGATAATACCAAAGTAGCAGACACTGTAACTCGGATATATCCCAAATTGGAGATCAACTTGAAAATAATAATTCCATATAGAAATACAAAATTAAGAATACTCTCATCTGATTTTTATTCTTCTATTTGGAGAGAGAGATAATATGAAGAATTAATTGATCGGAATATAAAAGATGAAGAATCATGACAAATTTTATTCTAGAATTTTGAAAAAAGCATGGTTCAGCTTGGATTACTAGTGACTTTATAATGATTAAATTTTTCTGTGTTATCAAACTTATCGTTTCCCATGTGTCTTAATTATTTATTATATTTACAATTAGAATAATGAACTAAAAGTCTTTTACGCATTTCTTCAATTAATTACTATTTTATAAAATTGTCAAAGGAGAAAGAAAGCTCTTGTAACAGCATTGTCTCTGTCATGTTGGTTATATATATAAATACATAATTTATCTTACTATAAAAATATTAAAAAATTGATAATATATAAAATTATTCGTTATTGCAAATTGGTTTTAGAATAGAATTAACAAAAGAGTATGAATGAACGTCGAAGGAAAATAAAAGAAATAGGAACACGGCGAATAGGTATATAAGTTATTTGAAATATCTTGTACAGGTAGATATTTATTTCTGCTTCTCATCTAGTCTGTCTAATTAGCAATACTCTGAGATAATGAGCTATATATGTACTATATATGAGATGCTAAAATTTTTCTTGTTATACTATTTTCTTTATATTCCTTTTTTGTTGATTGTAATACTTTTTATGTAAAACACATTAAATGTATTTTAAGTGAATGAAAAAAAGAAATTATAATTATAAGAAGAATTTATGTTTCAAGGAATATTTTCCTAGAAACGATCAAATTCTCACATTATGAGAAAATAATAGCTTATGATGGAAATATTTACCATGAATAAAAATTTAATATAAGTCCTTTATATATATATATATATATATATATAATTAATGATATTTAATATCATTATAAAGAGACAAGTTTACATATAAGCGTGGAGTGTATATATTACATAGATTCAAATGTAAACAAATACAAATACATAATGAGTTTAATCATTATGTATGAATAGTGTTATTTAAAATAGAATACGACGAGAAGAATTAGCACAAATCAATTTCACGAATTATGCACTTTTACAAACATGTTAATTTTGAGTGCAGTATACATATACATATACATATACTTAGTATGGCATAATCTCTAATGTTTGTTAAGAAATACACATAAGAAAAGAAAAAAAAAGAAAAGAAAAAATACATAATGTATATGAAAAATAAGAAAAGATAAGGAATAAAAACGTCGCTTTTAATTATTTCTTATGTTCTTATTTTTACGATCATACACTTTGTACTTTTATAAAAAAAAAAAAAAAGAAAAAAGAATATGCACACAGAAATTAGATACAACACATTAGATATAATATACACATTAAATTCTACATATACAATTTATATATTTCGTGACATATTAGAATACATTTTTCTGTTTACATTTTTCTATTAATCAATTTTAATTGTTCACGACTTTTTTTCTTTATTTTTTATTTTTTAATTGTTTTCTTTACTTTTACAAGGAAAGTGCTCAAAAATACGAAATTGATAAATTTCAATTCAATACAATTACATATACAGATTTGATATTTATCTTGTACATGAATACATACATACATGACTTCTCAATCAGTGTCATCTAATATCATTAGAAATGTTTGAATCTTTGATATATATATATATTATTAAAATATTGTTTTTATCGATTCTATTGACAATATAAATTAGACACTTGTTATTCTTAATATCATTATGAAACCTCATGGGGTTCTGTATGCGAATCTCTTATGGAAATAATAATTATTGTTATTATTAACAATAACAAGATGATTATGATCATCTTGTGATATTTAGCCAATAAATTTGATTAAGTTTATTAAATCTTTCACATAAATTTTATTATTATTATTATTATTATTATTATTACAATTATTATAATATTATTATTTTGCTAAATAAGAAGTTCTCTTATTCTTATTAAACGAATTTAACTATTTTTTTTTTCAAATCGTTACTTTAAATACAAATTTTTTCTTCTTTTCACATAAATAATTTTAAAGTTTAGAATTTATTTATCATTATTTATCTCATCATGCGCATAATATTTTATACGCAGATACAATTCTTTTCTTTAAATTACAAATTTCATTTTCTCTGCATAAACAATTTGAAAATTTTAAAGTCCCTTTGTCATTATATTTAAATCTCATCGTGCATACTTTACACATAGATACAATTTTTTAAACGAATTTTATTTTTTTTCTCTTTTTTTCATCGATCACTTCAGAGTTCAAGAATTTCTGTAGATGTAGATAAAATTCATATATAGATATTTCACATTGTGCATGATATTTTTACACAGATAAAAGTTCTATTTTTTAATTTTTTTTATATTAATTGTGATATTTTTTCAAACTATATTATTTGTGTGGCTCATAGCACAAGCACTTTCAATTTATAAGTAATTTAATAAAATCTCAAATTCGATGCCTTGGCAGTGAGGATTTCGAGCGATGCTTACAAGCGATATGATAATATACGTACGCAAGAAAAATTGACGTGTTTTTTAATTCTTATATTTTCGGTTGTTAAATTATGTACATACGCATATATATATATATATATGTGTATATATACTATATATGTATATGTAGTATATGTATACTATATATTTTTTATTATATTTTCGTGAAAATTTGTAGGAGATAAGAGGGGGGGGGGACGATTCAAAGGGGTTTGGGTAAAAGGAGAAAACATGTTGACCAGCAACAATTTTTTCCTGATATATAATCTTCATAAAACTTCATTTTTTTCACTTTCTTTCTACTTTTGTAGTAATGAATAACAGAGAAATTATTTAGAAATAATTTCTCCGGGTACAAAAAGCGCGGCATCACATTATCAACATCATCATCATCATCATTATTATCATCATCTTCATCATCATCATCATCATCATCATCATCATCATAATCTTCATCATCATCATCATCATCATCATCATCATCATAATCTTCATCATCATCATCATCATCATCATCATCATCATAATCTTCATCTTCATCATAATCATCATTATGCAATTTACGTACGAGCATGGTGCGTGCACATTTTATTATTATTTTGTTTCTCTATTATTATTTTATCATTATTAGTATTATTAATAATATTATACCTAACATCGTCACATTTCAAATATTTCTAAGAAAATGTTGTTTTTTCGGGTGATCGGGCCTACGGGAAGAGAATAAATCTGGGCGCCAGCACCCTGATTTTTCTTCTGTGCGCTAATGCGCTTTTTAACGCACAAATATTTGGCTAAAACGGTATATTTATGTATATGTAGGGTATACGTATGTAATATGTATATATCTATAATATATAAATATGTAATATAATATATRTATATATGTATATGTGTAAGTATGTATGTATATTTGTAATTCCTTTATTTCCTAATATTCTTTATATGAAGAGAAAAAATTCACTCCAGTAATGGAGTGGATCATTCTTGTAAAAGAATGTTCACAAATTTAATAATGTTCACGGAAAAAGTATTAATTATTATTATTATTATTATATTATTTAACTGCATTTTTCATTATCAATTCTTACTTATCCTCTGCTGTGTGTTTTTGTGTGTATATGTGTGTTTTATGATGATATAGAAAAAGATTGAACACTGAGTCAAGTGGTTTGTTAGTACGCGTTAAGTAGTTCGGTATTCTAATATAATGGACGTATGAGTTTACTAAAAGTGATTATTAAATGAAAAAAAAGAAGATGAAATATCTAGAAAAGTGGGCAAAAATCTTCTGTCTTTGAATTATTTAGAATTTATCTGTCTCTTGACATTTATTATCACGCATGCGTGTCACGTAATTCTGCTCTAATTATATATTGTGTATTTCCTTATTATTCATCGACTAATTCCCAAAGCATAAGGGCAGCATCGGTTCCACCAACGGTAACAATATTTCGATCATTGTACAAAAATCTAGCACAAGCTACCAACGAGCTGTACACTTTTTCTTCAACGTATTCCGCTTTTGCGCTGGTACACGGATATCTAAAAAGTCTTAAATAACCTTCGGCATCTCCGCTCACAAGCATATCATGCGCGGCTGATCTACTGGCTGTGGTTAAAACCGTTGTCAATGGGTAATAACGATTATTCCACATACCTGTCGACAAAAAGAATTTTTAATCAAATTAACAAATTTTCAAGAATAATCAAGTATTTATTCTTTTGATACATTCAATCATTCTATAACACGATTAATTTGTTCTGCGTTGTATCTAAAACTATCTACAGGACTATTAGTCCACTTTGTATAATTTTGTATATAAGGAAAGATTAATAATTAAGATTATATGTTAAAAATAATTACCTGAGACCATGTATCCTACTGTACAATTGTAAGTATGCCATTTAACATCTTTCATAACTAATGGGCTTTTTTCAGATGAAAGTGCTTTTACATCCCCTATATATAAACATTTACATACAAACATATACATTATAAATAATCGAAGAATGTATACGAAAATATTTTTCAATTGGAGAAATAACTTACAAAAAACAAGATCATAGTCCTGCGTCACCGTTTGTAAAAATCTGTTATCAGAACTCCAATCGAGTTGAACCAAGGGTTGTGTTCCACGTATTTTATTACTTTTTTTGTAAGAAAAACCATCTCTTGATACTCGGAAGAGATATACGCTACCATTTTGTGAGCCCATCGCAACAATTTCAGCAGCTTTTGCAGAATAACAGTTATCAAGCGTTAAGAAAAATAAACAACTTATCGCAACGTGAATATAATTCAATAAGATAGTTTCCTACTTGGATTATATCCAATACATGATAAAGGTGATCCACAAACTCTGAGAGTTGCTACAGCAGCACCAGTATCAGCCGCTAATACAAGTAAATGTCCATCAGATGAACCAGCAGCTAAGGCTACACCAAATGGATGAAATGCTATACAAATGCATTCAAAGCCAACCTGAAAATATGGATACATTTTTAAAGAGATAATCTTGATGGTAAACATTTGTTAATAGTTACTGTAATAAGAATATTACTTGAGTTGTCCATAACAATTTATGTCTTCGCCAAAGTGCAATATTTTTATCATGACCTGCCGTGGCAAAAACTTCATCATCTGGATGCACTGCAAGGCCCCACAATTGTCTACCATGTCCAAAAACCACTTGATTGAATCTTCTTTGCAAGGATCCTTCTAATATTATATTTCTTGTCGTTCCAACGTAAATATTGCCATCGTTTCTTCCTGGACGTTGAGGATAAATACTGCGAACTCCTCCGGCAGATTCCGGTAACTTCATTCGCAGATAACAAAATATAAACAGTTATATATTTATTAGAAATAAGTGTTATTTGCATTTAAGAATTTATCAACTTTAGTATGAAGCTTACCTTCGTATCGGTAATACGTTTGTAATTTTGTAAAGAATCCCAAGCGGCAATTTTGCGATCTTTTTCACCACCGGAGAGTAGTGTACCTTCGGACAACATTACCAAAGAACTAATACCTTTGTTATGAGCTTCAAATTCCATTCTAACAAAGTAAGCACCATCTGCATCGACCGAATATACCGTTATAAATCCATCGCTATCAGCCGTAATAACATCACCGTCTTGTTCGAATTGAATACTCGTCACGTGTGTACGTGATGGCTTAAAAAATATCAGTGAATTTTCAGCTTTCAATATTTTTTAGAAGAATTTGAAAGACTTGCTTAATAAAGAATTTTTGTCTATTGTCTTACAGGTTTAATTATGTCAGTCCGTTCAAAGAAACCATCTTTCCGTCGATTCCAAAACGTTAAATGTCCACGTCCATGCGTTATCAATAAGTTATCATCCAATGGATGAAATGCTGCACCTGTTAAATCTTCTTGCATAGTCTTTTAAAAATAAATAATATTTCTATAATTAAAAAAAATTATTACAGTAATAATAATAATAATAAAAAAAATTACTTAAAAAAACTATACTTATTGCAATTATAATAATAAGCAAAATTAGTAACTATAGGAGTTACTAATACTATAGTATTATTAACTGTAATTTTACTGTAGTAATAATAATAAAAATATTACGTATAAGTATTAAGAAGTATTAATAAAATTATGAGATTAGAATTTTTGTATTTTGGTTTGTTTAATGAGACCTACTTACCGCAACTTTACCCAATAAGTGACCCCATTGCCATTGCCATACTGAGAGAATGGCTTCTCTTCCTGCATCAACAGCAAGTACATAGCTGCCACCATTCTATAAAACAGATATTTAATGCAATATAATATTTTCTTTTCTATATATAACTTTTCTATAAATATACAAAGATGAGTCAATGATTATTCGCAATGTAATGGTACTGGTCTTTTTTTATGTTGGCTGTATTATCAAATGCTCATATGCATTAGTATTAGTAGTTTTCTCCTATCATGAATACCATTACATTGCAGTTACTTCATTTATACAATGTATATATTTATACCAATTGGGAAAAGGCTAATGCTGATACTCCTATTTGAAATTCGGTCATTCCGAAAACGTAAAGAGTTAGAAGAGTTTCAGTTGACCAAATACGAACATGAGGTTGAGCTTTTCGATGCCTGCCAGCTCTTTGACCAGATGCTACGAGTTCTCTGCTAGGATGTATCTGTAAAATATGATTATAACATTATTTAATTATATTTTATATAATCAAACCAAGTATATATTAAATTATATATCGATTAAGATTGAACTGAAAATACAAATCTTTCTGCCCCTATGAAAAACGTACTTCCATGCAAGTAATATCTTCTGTATGCCCAATGTAATGTCTTTGTGCATTTTCTTCTCTATCAAAAAGAACTGCAACTGCAGCAACATAATATAATAATTCTCCACTTGGTAAAACCCATAAATTTCTACGAGTGTCTGTACCACGGTAACCATAGACCCATTCCAATTGTAATTTTTTATCTGGTGGAGAGTTGTCAACTGGTGGCAAACGTGTTGGAGGATAAAATGATCTTCTTAAACCTCTAATCGTTACTCTAGCAGGTTCATCTCTTAAAACTTCTACGACACTGTAATCTGGACAAATATATTTATATTGAGAATTATAATGCATAATATTAAATTATATAGAAACGTTTGTTTATAATGATATTAATAAAATTTCTTGACAAATTTTCTCGTACTTACCATTAATTCGAACAACTTCAGAATCTGGAGCATAGAGTGATCGAGGTCTACTTTTACTTCGAGCACGTCTTTGGCGTCCAAGATCTTCCACAACAGTAGGTGGTCCACGTGATCTTGATCTTCTAGTTGGAGAGGCTGTTATAGCACCAGATATACCCATACTAGAGCCAGTACCCAAATAAAATGTATCTATATCGGCGAATTCGTTTCTCAATTGCGAGAAACTTCTTACCTGTTTTTTTAAAACATATTCAAATAAATAAGAGATTAATTTTGCTATTGTCTCTTGGAGATGTTTAATGATTAATATATATATTAATTGTTTTGTTTTATACATTATTTCAAGATATATAATTTGAACAATATGTAATACAATCGAGTATAGACCGAACTAACGATTGTTCTCATAGAAGAAAATTGGCCAATTTGAAATTCATATATGATCGTGACCTGGAAAGATGAATCTCTGACCTTTTTCCATAGCATATCTAATCCAACTTCTTGATCAACTTTTTAACTTATAACCGTGTTATATATTCATGACTTAAACTAAATAAAAAGTAAAACTAAACCTCTAACATTTCACTGAGTTTCAGTATAATTATGATATTCAAACCTTATCGTATCTGTATTAACAACTTTGTATGAGTGTTTATTTCTAAGATGCATATAATTATGCAAATTAAAATATGAAAGAAAAATATATTTAATTCTTATATTATATAAAATAATATTATATAATAACTTGCAGAAAATGTTCGATTATGTGAGAATAGAATTTTTTAATTACTTAATATATTTTGTTTAAATATATTAAGTACTATTTGTACAGTGAAGATACAGTTCAATTCAAATGATAGGATTTCAAGAAGGCGACCCTGATAACATATCGTCCGATATTTACTTCATTCTGATGTACCTATCCAAGACCTCACATAGAACATGCATATTTATGTGGAGAAACATTATTCAAGCTGATTTTATAAGTACGATGTCGAGAGCCAATGTGTATCTTTCATTTGCATAACTTGTCGATAAACTTTCTTGTCTCATCTACCTTTTTGTCTAACTTGAATATATCGATCATAAAGAAATGATAATAATCTAAATAGATTAGATATATCTATCTATCTATCTATATATATATATATATATATATATACGTCAAAATATCTTTTCATCTTAAATCACATTTGATTCTCATCAGGAAGGAATACAAATATTTATTATACCTCTTGACCCGAAACAGTGAACATCCTTTTAGCTCCATTCATTTTTAAAACTTGACCAAGATCTTCTAATACTTCTTCGAACGGTTGAGACGTCCGAAGGTTTAGTAGAACACGGCACTAAAAACATATATATTTATATAAGTCTATATCTATATTCATATAAGATATTTCATAGGATATGTAACACTAAAATAATAAAAAAAGTTTGTGTAAAAATTTGACCCATTCTTAAATTTAACATTTCATTAAAAAAAAAAAAACAAGTTTAATTTAACAACAAAGTCAAATGTGGCACGTATCTATATAAATATATTTTTTTTAACGTTTTTTAACTGAATCCCAGATGTTATGGAACACTCTGTATACATTCATATATATTTCTTATGAATATATTCATCACATTTGATTGATAAGACTTTCTCTCACCTGAACAGTATGATCATGGTTATTTACAATTCGGATGACACGACCTGAAGAAGGCTTACCACCTCCTGGTGGTGGTGCTTCTTCAGTGATCGAAGCTTTTCTACTTAGGCTAGCTACTGCTCCTGGTCTACTTTGCCAACCTCCAGTTCCTCCTGCACCGCTACCACTAACTCCACCTCTGCTACCTCCGCTAGTTGGTGCCGTGTACCAATTATTACTTTTCTTTCCATAGCTCGCCGGCTTTAAAATCATTCCACATTATTTTATTATTATGTTTATTAATCAAAAAATTAATCTATATTTTTATTGATATAATATATCTCTTATATAAATTTTAAAAAACATTTTATCTAAATATGTACATAGTACTGATTCAACATAATACAATGATCTATTTTTTCTTTCAGATCAATTAATTCGAATTTTCTTTATTAATGAACCTAAGTATATTTGTATATTATATATTATATATTATAATAATATATATATATATATATATATATATATA